TAGTCTTCTTTTGCCTTTCCTGAACAAAACACTTCTGCAGGATGCTTCCATGTGAATAGACAGTATTGTTGCAATCTCATATTCACTTTGAAATGAATGTCGAAAGCAGCACATGATTGCTTCAGATTTATCGTGTCGCAAATTTCTTATCTCTCTCCTTCTAACTTCTTCCACTCCTGCTCATGTAAAAGAAATTCTTTAGTGCGGTTCACCATACCAATTTTAAGAAAATTTAAAGGTAACGTTGGATTTATGATTTTAAACAATAGCTGAACCTTAAAAATATTAAATAAACACGCTTTTCTAAACGGAATCTGACACCACGAATATCTGAATAGAATAGGTGCTCCAGATAGATTGAAACCAATCATGCCTACTGTCTAATAACATTACAAATCGCTTCAATTTTCGCACAAAGGTCGTTGCAATCATTAATCATCATTAATCATTTCAAAAACACGCTGCCGATCCGAATGGGATTAAAGGCGCCAGGTATGCTTGGCGCTAACGCTGCGGAAAGCATAAAGTGCTCCAAAATATGCCATCGGAATATTCATGATTCAGTTCTGAAGTGTTATCTGCTAAAAAAAAATAAATAAATAAATAAAAAACAAAGTAGTTTACATTTTCACTCGAGAATCGTCTTAACATCATCCACAGTCGACTTAGATAGACTGTAATCTAATATCGCCGGGCGGAGGTCGTCAAATATTCTGTCAAACCTCTGAGTCTGAAGGCCTTAGTGCGTACTGAATATTCACCTGCCAATCACCATATTCTGGAAAATTCACCTGCAAGTCCACAGCGTCACTTGCACTTACCCTTGAGTGAATAATCGATTGATAAATTTGAATCTTCTATGTATAATTTCCTTGTTCTCATAAGCCAAATAAAGAGTCATTTGAGCAATCTCGAGTTCATTTAGTTGCCATGACTATCACAATGACGTTGAGATGAAAGGAAAATCAGCTTTCACATTTGTGTATTTTCGAACAACTTCCTCGAGAGGGAAAAATTGATCTTCCTTGTTCCCTTCACCAATGCATATCCTCAGATTTCATCGTCTTTATCAATGTTAATTGAAGAAATTGGGTGCGAAAGATAGCAATATTGAGCTTCCATATCTTTGCGATGGTTTTTACTACTAAAGCAGCATAAATTTAACAAAAAAACTCTAAACTCAGGTTACTTCTACAAGTGCAAGAAATTTCTGCTATTCGCCGAGTTCTAAATGTTCTTGATTATTTTCTGCCATTCTGTTTGAACGTGTTTTTAAAAAGCGTCGGCTAATTCTCCTCAGTCCTTGTCTGTAGTTAGAACTTTGCGCTGCGTAAAGGACAGGATTGATAAAAGAGTTGAGAATAAGAAAAAAGCGAACCACTCGGTGTACAAGGTGAAGAGAGTAGTAATTTTGTTTCAGTGTACTCTTTGAGATAAGGGAGACGTAAATAAAGAACACTGCAAACGGAATGCAACAAACAGCAAAAGCTACAGCGAGAGAGACAAGTAACTTTAAAAGGTGTTTCTTGGATTTTTCCGCTTCTCCACTTTCAGCGGAGTTTTCACAACAGATGTTTCTCTTAAAGTGTATTCCATAGAAAACAGAGCAGTAACAAAACAGAATCACAACTGTGGGCATCACAATAAACAGACTGCAAAATACAATTATATACGTCCTTTTATACGGCGTGAGTCGATCGAGAGTCCATGGTCGATTACAAGGATATGCTCTAGCCTCTGGATCGTAGTCGTTCGATAAAAATCCTGGTAAACATAGTAGCAACGCTGATACCCACGTTGCGACAATTGCATGACGGACGTTTCCTTTACCAAGTCTTGCATTTGTGTTAAATGGTTTCACGAGAGAAAAGTACCTTTCCACAGCTATGACCGTCAATGTGAAAATAGACTCTAGAACAGTGACAGAGAGCACAGCATTTCCTGCAAACACCTTGCAAATGAAATCCCCAGTGGTTTGACTCAGTCTTACGTTATGTAAAGAGAAATCATAAAAGCCCGGACAGAACAACAGTGACAGTAAATCGGCCAGGGCTAAGTTCACCAGCAAATAGTTTGTTGTTGTATGCATGGATCGCGTTTTACACACGATGGCGATCACAACACCGTTGCCAATCACACCAAAAAACACAATGATTGAGTAAATCGTTGCGAAAACGATGTTTTCAGAGGCAACGCCGTCGACAATTCTTTCGTCGATGGTAAAATTAGTTTCACTATTTCCGGAACTCATCGCTTATCAGAGAGGAAAAACCCTCCAAATGTCATTTAACATTCCCACTGGCTTTAAATGCTTTTTCTACGATTCACAATGGCTTTCAACAAGCGAAGTGATTGTTAAAGAATGCCTTTTCTTCACACACGATTTCGAAAGTTCAGCTGTGTAAATTCTTTGTTTCCGAGATGTTACAGGTGAATCGAATTTTTTAATATATTAGGGACCTAAAGCAAACACGACGGCGACAGCAACGAGGACGTGGAAAAACAAGAGATCTGATTGGCAGAACAATAGCTCAGCACGTGCGTTTTGAAACTTTGTACATTTTTTAGCCGTCCTATGCAAAACAACAACCTGAAATCGCCAAAATTTACGTCGTCTGAGAACCGAAACCGTGGCGGCAAATTATTATAATTTCCATTTAGAGCTCAACGCTACTTTTATACGTCATGCTGAAGTTGAGCCGTGGCGCCATATGAGACAGTAAGCTCCTGCAGCTATGTTTGAAATTCTAACTAAGAGTAGAAATTCATTTTTTAATCGGAGTCTTCCTTGGCGTTGCCGTCCTGACTGCTTAAGGTCCCTATTAGCTTTCAATTTGGTCGATCAGTTCGGCATATTTAAAATTGAGGAGTAGCCAAGAATAGCATTGACCGACATTTCCAGGTTAAAAAATTATTCTTAAACGTAAGCAAGAGAATGTTTATAAGCTCTTGACGTGAGCCAATGGCATCATCTGGATCTAAAGGGTTAAGAAATCATTTCCTGATGGTTTTAAAGTGGACATCCCGGTTTTTCTGTATACGCAAACAGTGCGTAAAAATAATTGTGCTCACGGTATTATCGTTTCACACTAATCTGTAACATCATGGCCGGATGATTTATCCACCAAAGATCATGATAGCAGCTTGTTTCTGTCAATACTCGCCCATCTTAAGAATTATGAAGTATTTATATAGTTTCTTCGCACGTACTAAATACGAAACAAAACGGGTCGGTTTCTCGGCTATTTTATAAACATAAAATTTATTTTAATTTCATGTCCATGATAAGTCTCTGAAATTCTCCGTTAATTCTCAGAACTTGTACTTAAAATTAACAAATTTGAAAAAAACCAGTCTGAGAGGAATAGACATTTTCAATTGGGAGTCAAGTTTCCCACACACAATGGAAAATACAATGGAGTTAAGTGAAAAACCGTTCCAAAATAAACAAACAGCATGAAATGTCTAGAACCTTTCATTTTGACGAAAATTTGACTGTGCTGTTTTTCATTTAGAATCGCTCGCATCGTAAAATTATTCATAACCTTAATTATGAATTTTTAATTGTACACCACCTGCCACTATGTCATTCCACCCGCAAAAGTGCTAATTTGCGAATGTTTCTCTGTCATGACTGTGCAAACCCTTATGAAGAAAAAAAAAACCATAGATTTCATTTTCTCGGATTTTGTGGTCACGGTAATAAACCCAAACAAAATTTTTCCCGTGAAAAAAACCGACGACTGGACTGGACT